CCGGGAAGCGGACGTTGCAGTGAACCGAGATTGCATCACTCCACTCCAGCCTGGGCAACAGAGTGAGACTCAGTATCCAAAAGAAAAGAAAAGAAAAGAAGGAAGGAAGGGAAAGAAAGAAACAAACATTTGTCAAAATAGCATGTCAAAATAAAAATTAAAAAGAATTAATTAACAGTCATGGATTGTAGAGATTAAAACACAGGTGTCTTTTAGGACCTGTTTTCCAGCCCACTACAGAAACTTTGTTTACTGATTCATCCAGCAAGTGCTTATAACTGTGTACCAGGTACTGATCTAGGCACTCAGGAAGACACAGCTATAAATAAAACAGAGATCCCCAATCTCCCAGAACTGACATTCTAAGGCTGTGCTGTCCAAAATGGTAGCTGGAAACCTCATGTAGCTATTGAGCACTTGAAATGTGACTAGTCCAGGCTGGGTGTGGTGGCTCATGCTTGTAATACCAGCACTCTGGGAGGCCAAGGCAGGTGGATCACCTGAGGTCAGGAGTTCGAGACCAGCCTGACCAACAAGGAGAAACCCTGTCTCTACTAAAAACACAAAATTAACTGGGCATGGTGGCACATGTCTGTAATCCCAGCTACTTGGTAGGCCGAGGCAGGAAAATCACCTGAACCAGGGAGGTGGAGGTTGCCATGAGCCAAGATCATGCCACTGCATGCCAGCCTGGGCAACAAGAGTGAAACTGCATCTCAAAAAAAAAAAAAAACTAGTAGACATCAATACTTGTTGTTGTGTTATATATTATTTCTTTTTTTTATTATTTAAAGACAGGGTTTCACCATTTGGTCAGGCTGGTCTTGAACTCCTGACCTCAGGTGATCAGCCTGCCTTGGCCTCCAAAGTGCTTGGATTACAGTCCTGAGCCACCACGCCCAGCCAAATGCACAGCAAATTTGAAAGCTTTACTATACACATACACAAACATAGAAAGTTTTAAATATCTTAGTAACTTTTTAATATGGATACTTGTTCAAGTGATAATATTTGGGATACATTGGGTTAAATCAGACATATTGTTATTCTTTTTTTTTTTTTTTTTAAAGACGTGGTTTCTCCATGTTGGTCAGGCTTAAACTCCCGACCTCAGGTGATCCACCCGCCTTGGCCTCCAAAGTGCTTGGATTACAGGCGTGAGCCACCGCGCCCAGCCAGACATACTGTTATTCATGTTAACTTTGTTTCTTTTTAGTTGTTTAAATTGTAGCTACTATGAACATTGAAATAAATAAATACATGGTATGTTAGCAAGTGATGCATTATTCGGGAAAAAAAAATCAGGACTGGGTGCGGTGGCTCATGCCTGTAATCCCAGCACTTTGGGAGGCCACGGTAGGAGGACTGCTTGAGGTTAAGAGTTTGAGACCAGCCTGGGTAACAAAGAGAGACCCCATCTTTACAAAAATGTTAAAAAAAGTAGGCATGGTGGTAGGTGCCTGTGTCTCAGCTATTCGGTAGGTAGAGGCAGGGGGATTGCTTGAGCCTAGGAGGCTAAGGCGGCTGCAGTGAGCTGAAATCATGCGACTGCACTCCAGCCTGGGCGACAGACAGAGACCTTCTTCTTCCTTTTTTTTTTTTTTGTTTCGTTTTGTTTTGTTTTGAGATGGAGTCTCGCTCTGTTGCCCAGGCTGGAGTGCAGCGGCACGATCTCGGTTCACTGCAACTTCCATCTCCCGGGTTCAAGCGATTCTCCTGCCTCGGCCTCCTGAGTAGCCGGAATTACAGGTATTTGCCACCACACCTGGCTAATTTTTGTATTTTTAATAGAGATGGGTTTTCACCATGTTGGTCAGGCTGGTCTCAAATTCCTGACTTCGTAATCTGCCCGCCTCGGCCTCCCGAAGTGCTGGGATTACAGGTGTGAGCCACCGCACCCAGCCGGGACCTTCTTTCAAAAACAAAACAAAACACACCTGTTCCTCAAGCAAGATGCCAGGCGCACCTGGGTCAGTCCAGACTCCTAACCCATGTGGTTTACGAGCATCAAGGAGGAGGGAGGGGTTCCAGGAAAAGGGAACAGCCTACCTCTGGGCCTTTGCACTGGCTCATCCTGCTTCCTGGAATGCTCTTCCTAATATCACTGCTCTTCCCCTTCCTTCCTTCAGGCCTTTCTGCAGATGTTACCTCAATGAGGCTTTCTCTGACACCCCTCTCTAAAACTGCAAAGCACAGGAGTGTGCCACCAAGCCTGGTTAATTTTTCTTTATTTTTTTGGTAGAGTCAGTGTCCCACTATTTTGCCCAGGCCGGTCTCAAACTCCTGGGCTCAAGCAATCCTCCCACCTTGGCCTCCCAAAGTGTTGGGATTACAGGCGTGAACGGCGGGGCGTGAGGAGGGGTGTGGAACCCCTAATCGTGATTGGTCCCTGGCACAGTCTCTTCTGCCCACGGCTCCTTAAAGGGGAGGTTGGCCTGTGGGGAGAGGTGGGAGCTGTGTCAGAAGGGCACCAAATCTCACCCTCCCTTCCACCTGCAGCCGGAAGGGCAGTCACCTGGGCTCTGGGATGTTCCTTTCTATGCAGCGTCCGCCTGCGGTGCCACTGGTGCAGGGAGGCGCGGGCCTCGGAGCTGAGCCCCCGGGGCGCGCGGTCCGTTTCGGGCTGGTAGTGGGCAATGTGGTGCAGCGCCCCAAACCACGTGGTCAGGTAGTACCCGGCTGGGGGTAGGAAAGGGAGGTCAGCTCGGCCCCCTCGGCTTCCCTGGTCGTCCCAAAGCCCCCTGCAGTTTGCCTGCTGTCCCTCCTGCTGCCGAAGGGAAGCTGTTTGGGATCCCGGAAGCCTTGGGTTCCAGCATTCTGGAGTTGGGGGCTCACCCTCTCCCCGCAGTTCGTCTGGATCCAAGAGCTCCATAAGAAACTCCACGTCCAGCTGCGTCTCCCCAATGGCCGGGCTCCAGATGAGTTCCTCGGTCAGCGCCGGCAGGAAGGCGTCGGCCCCCAGGGGATCTGGGAAAGCCCAAGGAAAGGTCCTGAGATAGATGGGGGCGCGCAGACACCTTCCATCCGATCCCCAGGACCGCGAGGGCCCGCTGCCCCTTCACCTTGTGAGGCACGACAGCGCCTCCTACCAGAATCCCCAGGACCGCGCAGACGCCTCCCACCAATGCTACCCTCTCCCTCGACGTGCGCCCGCAAACGCTCCCCTAACCCTCAAGCCGCTCTCCACCACGCTACACGTTGACCCTTCCCTTACCTTGGTTCTCGCCCTGAGCCAGGCCCTCGTAGACATCTTTGCACACCTCCAACAGGAGCGCCACCTTGCGGCGCGGGGCGCAGGCGGCGTGGAGGTGCGCAAGGCGCGCGTGGATGCGGCTCCGCAAGGCGGGGGCGGGGCCCTGACCCTCGGGCCCCGCCCCCTGTGCGCCCATAGGCCCCGCCCCCGCCCGCAGGGCTGTTTGTCGCCTCCGCAGCCGCCGCAGCTCCGGCGCTCGGAGCGTGCGGAGTCGCGTCCACAGGGCCGGTTTCAGGGGCTCCAGCACCGCCTGGCACACGGCCGTCTCCAGCACAGGGCCTGCGAGGGGGTGGGGGACGGGTGAGCGCAGGGCCGCCAAGTTGCCCCGCGTCCACCCACGCGCTCCACCAACCCACCCTGGCACACTGCTTCCCCTGACTAGCTCTGGTCCCCTGCAAGTGTAGACATGGGTGTGAACACGTGTGGAAGAGTGACCCCGGGTGTGAACTTGTGAGCAGGACAAGGGAATATGGCTGTCACACATGGGCGATAGAACGCGTGGGATGTGTAGGAAGGGCATGTGGGTGCAGAAGGAAATATGTGTGCGCATCGATGGAGAGAACAACATCGCACACTTGAACCCATGGGTTCAAGCTCCCTTCCCATCCTCCCATTACCTGGATCTTCATCCTTCTTGGAGACCCCAGGACCCTTGCTCCCAGAGACAGCTTGGATGTAGGGGTCCTTTGCCAGGTGATCCTGAAGGTCAATAAGGAGCTGCCGCACATCCTGAAGCAGCTCCGTGGCTGGGTCCCCAGGCCTGTGGGGACCCCCAGAATCCGAGGTGATGCGCAACCGAAGACTTCGGTACTTCCTGGCCACGTAGCTGCTCCGAGCCCTGACCAGAGCTTGGATGTGAATGGTGAGTATGTCCTCAGGGCCTTCCTCTTCAGGGTCGTCCTCCCTTTCTTCCTCCCTTCCTTCAGGGTCTTCCTCCTCCTCCTCCAGGAGGCTGGCAAGAGCCGGCCCAGGATGGCCCACTTCTGGGCTGAGCGGGCCTTTCACCCAGGAGACTCCATGAGGCGCAGGGTTCCTGGGGGCTGGATGTGAGGAGGGCATTGGGTCCCCTAGAACAGGGGCAGCAGCTCCCTCCTCCCTCAGAGGCCCAGGGCCTCCCCTCCCAGCTAACCTGGATCATATCTCTGGGCAGCCTCTGGCTCTATTTCTTGGGGGGTCTGCTCCTTCCCCCAGCCTCTGTGGGTCTCCAGGTAGAGTTGGTTAATAATGGAAAGCACCTTCCCTGGGGTGTCTTGTTGGATGCTGCCGATCTGCAGAGGATCTGGAGATAGCAGAAGTGAGAAGGTGTCCTGGGTATCCGAGAGACCAACCCTGGTCCCTTCAGGGCACCAGGAGACTTACTTCCCACCTTCATTGCTGGAGGTGCTAAGGCTTAGCTCCTGGCCCTTCCTCACTCAGACCCAGGAGTCCAGGCCCCCAGTCCCCTCCTCACTTAGGCCCAGGAGTCTGGGCCCCCCAGTTCCCTCCTCCTCCAATCCCCTCCTCTGTTAGGACCCAGGAATACATGCCTCCATCCCCTCCTCCCTCTGGGGCTACAAAGTCCAGGCCCCCAGCTCTCTCTAGCTCCCAGTTCTATATTTCTCTCAAACCCAGTAGTCTGGGTCCCGGAGCCGCGTTCATTTCCTTGGAGCAAGGAAATTGGCAGGTTGGCTGTGCCCTCCTTTGGAGAACCATGCCTCACCTTTGTGTTCATCTCCAGGCCCTAGAGTGGGAGGGGGCAAGAGCAGGGTTCTGGGCAGAACATCCCTGAGAATAGAGAGGTGGGAGCCACAGTGTCAGTGGGGTGTCTTAGGGAAGGGTCCCCTTTAGTGCCTTGGATGGGTGACCTGTACCTGCTGGCTGATAGAAAGGCCAGGAGATGGGGCAGGTCTGGCATGCAGAGGTTGGAGGATTCCAGGGTCACACCTCGGGTGGGGGGAGGAAGAAGAAGAAAGTAAACTTGAGTGGTACAGTCTTCTGTTTCCTGGGACTCTCTTGGTCCCCCATTCCTTCAGAATCTCCCCAGGGACCTTCAGAACAGGGAATTTCCCACTACTCAGAGTCCCCATCTTTGCTCTTTTTTTTGAGATGTAGTCTAGCTCTGTCACCCAGGCTGGAGTGCAATGATGCAATCTCGGCTCACTACAACCTCTGCTTCCTGGGTTCAAGCGATTCTCCTGCCTCAGCCTCCTGAGTAGCTGGGATTACAGACGCCCACCACCATGACCAGATATATATATATATATTTTTTTTTTAAGAGTGTGGGTCTTGCTATGTTGCCCAGGCTGGAGTGCAGTGGCTATTCACAGGTGCGATCCCGCTACTGATCAGCACGGAAGTTTTGACCTGCTCCGTTTCCGACCTGGGCCAGTTCACCCCTCCTTAGGCAACCTAATGGTACCCTACTGCCGGGAGGTCACCATATTGATGCTGAACTTAGTGTGGACACCCGATCGACATAGCGCACTACAGCCCAGAACTCCTGGGCTCAAGCAATCCTCCCACCTCAGCCTCCCAAGTAGCTGGGACTACAAGCACATGCCACTGTGCCCGGCAATTTTTGTATTTTTAATAGAGACGGGGTTTCACCATGTTGGGCAGGCTGGTCTCGAACCCCTGACCTCATCATCCACCCACCTTGGCCTCCCAAAGTGCTGGGATTACAGGCGTGAGCCACCGCGCCCGACCATCCCATCTTTACTCTTGTATCCCACTTATGCCATCAACTAGGATTCATTCATTAGACAAACACTTATTGAGCCCTTAGTCATTTCCAGGCACTGGAGATAGTTATCAAAAGGCAGACAAGTTCACTGCCCTCTGGTTGCTTACTTTTTAGCGTGGGGCAGAGAGGGGAAAGGCAGAACATAAACGAGTAAACAGTCAGGGCGTGGTGGCTCGTGCCTGTAATCCCAGCACGTTGGGAGGCTGAGGTGGGCAGATCACCTGAGGTCAGGAGTTTGAGACCAGCTTAGCCAACATGTTAAAACCCCATCTCTACTAAAAATACAAAAAATTAGACAGGTGTGGGTGGTGGGTGCCTGTAATCCCAGCTACTCAGGAGGCTGAGGTGGGAGAATCACTTGAACCCAGGAGGCAGAGGTTGAGGTGAATGGAGATTGCACCATTGTACTCCAGCCTGGGCAACAGACCAAGACTCTGTCTCAAAATAAATAAATAAATAAAAATAAAATAACATAACATACAACATAAATAAATAAAAATACAAAAATTAGTTGAGTGTGGTGCTGGACACCTGTAATCTCAGATACTTGGGAGGTGAAGGCAGGAAAATCACTTGAACCTGGGAAGTAGGTGAGCCAAGATTGTACCACGGCACCCCAGCTTGGGCCAAGTGGATATCATATTGAGTGCCATAAAGGAAATGGACTGATTCAAAGTGACCAAGGGACTGGGCATGGTGGCTCATGTCTGTAAGCCCAGCACTTTGGGAGTCCGGGGTGAGTGGATCACCTGAGGTCAGGACTTTGAGACCAGTCTGGCCAACATGGTAAAACCCGTCTCTTAAAAATACAAAAAATTGGCTGGGTGTGGTGGCTAACACCTGTAATCCCAGCATTTTGGGAGGCTGAGGTGGGCGGATCACGAGGTCAGGAGATCGAGACCATCCTGGTCAATTTGGTAAAACCCTGTCTCTACTAAAAATACAAAAATTAGCTGGGCATACTGGCTCATGCCTGTAATCCCAGCTACTAGGGAGGCTAAGGCAGGAGAATTGCTTAAACCAGGAAGTCAGAGGTTGTGGTGAGCCGAGATCGTGCCACCGCACTCCGGCCTGGTAACAGAGCAAGACTCCATCTCAAAAACAAATAACAACAACAAAAAAACTCCACCAAGACAAAAAACAAACGAACAAAAAAACCCACCGAAACGAAGCAAAAAATTAGTCGTGTGTGGTGTTGTGCACCTGTAATCCCAGCTACTTGGGAGGCTGAGGCATGAGAATTGCTTGAACCTGGGAGGCAGAGGTGGCAATGAATTGAGGCTGGGCCACTGCACTATAGACTGAGTGACAGGGTGAGACCTTGTCTCAAAAAAAA